CCTGAAAATCATTATCGGATACTTTTCATAAACGCTAATACATTTTCAATTATAGCTCAATCTGAGCTGTACTTGAGTTCTACGAGTTAAATTACTTTATATTGCTACTGTAGTTATTTTATATTAGCACTAAATTATTTTTTAAGCTTATATTATACAATTTATGATCATGTAGTTCCTAAAACATTGCTTTTGCTTCAACCACATTTACACCATAATATTTATCATACTGAGTGTAAACAGCACCACTTATTTTGACAGTTACAAGGAAATCAAAACCTATAGGGTGCTTGCTTCCCGTCGACCTAAAACCATGAAATTTTGCAAGAAGCGACGTTTTATAGCACAAGTAAAGGGAAAAATCAAAACGTATCTATGGACGCATCACGCACCCAAGTGAAGCAAGGGTAAATCGCTAGTTTTAAATAAATATGTCTTTTGGAATTTCCCCGCCGATTTATTCCCAACGTTTTGTAATGCTTTACAGCAACCAGTCAGCCAGATCAATTCAGTCTTGGGGGCGACTATGATTTTAGACGTCTATAAATCTATACAAAAAACTAAAAAGAAATCAACGCTAAAATCCAAAAGAAAAAAAAATTATTTAAAGTGTCAAATATTCGCGTAAGTCTAAGAAATATTATAGAAAAGAGTAATAATTAGATAAGCTTATCGGAGCATTTGTTTAATATCGTTTCCAAAATGTGTACTCAATGAACAAAAAGCCATTATATAAGGTAATAATAAAAAAAAGTGTTAATAGATAAATTTAAAAAAAAACTCAACAAAAAGTAACTTAAAACAATTTTACTTTAAATTACAAACTGTCTAGTGCTCGGTCTTGCAGTTTACGCATTTCAATTGACTCATCACAACATATTATGGAGATTTGATATACTACATTAGTATTAGTCACGCTTTACTTATCAGTCATTACGCATTTACTCGTTTACTACGTTTCTTAGTTAACAATATTTCCACAATAATCGAATTTTTAAATAGGAAAATCCTGTAATAATATATTCATTTGACGTATAATTCAAAGAAATATTTTAATATCTCCATATTTATATGACATAAGTTATCTATATGTATAATAAAAGTATAACTGATTGCTGTCTGCACATGGAAGATATTTAAGAATAACTATTATTAGGGGTCTTTATTAATGCAATAGAACCCACAACAATGATTATTAGATTTTTTTGTCTGTGCGTTTGTACCATTCTCAGAAACGGCTTAACCGATTTGGGTGCGGTTTTCACTAATGTATTATGGTAAGCTTCATTTACAAGTTAGTATTTGTTTTAGTTCAATCGGTTTATAAATAAAAAGTTATGTCAATTCAAAAAACCACGTAGGGACGTACCCGAGCGAAACGAGGGTGAGTCGCTAGTTCATAATAAAGATCTTAAAGTTAAAACTAAAGCTTTTCTTTATATAATTAAGAAAACTTATGAATTATATAAAGTTTAGGTCTTATGACTCATTGAAAACAAAAGCTCTAATAATTGGCACATAAACAAAATTGGAAATATGAAATTTCGTTGAACAGATTTTCATATTTTACGAAAATGCGCAAGAAAGTAAGAATTTTATTTTATTTTTATCCGCTGAAAAATCAGTAATGTTTGTATCAGTATGGAAGTTCGTCATTTTTGAATCACCGTAAATGTAAAATATAGAAATTGATAACATTCATCTGTTTATATACTTATACCTAATAAAATTCTGAGTCGAATTTGTACAGATTCCACTCAGAATTTTATTAATGTATTTTTTATTGTTACTACATTAAATATTTTTTTGAAAGTCTTATTGAAATAGTCATTATTATCAATACAGAAGCCGAATCTACAGTTTTTAGAATTTCTGTCTGTCTGTTTGTCTGTCTGTCCGGGAACGCATCACGAGAAAACCACTAAACAGATTGATGAAATTTGGTATGATGATAGCTGGATATCCGGGTCAACATATAGATACTTTTTACTACAGATAAAGATCTCGTCTCTGAGAAATCTATATTAAACGTTAAAACGTAAGTAGGAACGAGTCCGAGTGAAGTGAGGGTGAATCGCTAGTATATACTTCACATTGTCATTTATCATTCCTCAAAACAAAATGTGCATACGTTACATGATAAGAATATGATATTAAGATTATCTTATGTTTTTGATCAGCCACATAACTGCTTTATAAATATAATGCCATAAATAATATATATATATATATATATATATATATATATATATATATACTATATATATAAGTGTATATATTAGATAAGTGTTGATAATAAACAATATAATTTTAAAAAACAATGGATTTCCCTTCTACTCATTGAAGAACTCGTGAATTAGTCTTCAAAGTTACTATCAAACGTTTATGTTAATAGAACAGAGGATTCATTAAAACTCTGGAAATACCAAAACCTTTCGTTTACGTCATTCAGTAAGGTAAAAGACAACTTTATTGTAATTATTATAATTAACATTATAATAATGAATATATTCGACTGACGTGCCTTGCTTTGTATTGCCATCGATTACACTCTACCCGATCTAGACTCATTTTTACGATATAGATACTTAGCACCCAAAGAGTCTACGGGGTAGAAAAATATTACTACTACAATCTCTATGTAAAATATCACTGTCGGTCCAATGTTACGTAAGAGATATTATCACGTTCCTTGTGAGAAGTCTCTAATACTTTAAAAATAAAATTCTGAATAAAAATAGATACATACGAGTACATAGGGTTCTTTTAAAGATGTAACTCTCACATAAGCAGAGTTGTGGGCAAGAACTAGTTATAAAATAAAAGTTTCATCCCACACGTACAACGAAAATTGAAGCAAAGGTCCAATCTTATGCTCAAGGTCTTGACAGTCTTGAAGGTTCTTGAGGTGGCAGTTAGTCTTAATCATAATAGAACAAACATATTTGGACGCACAATTCTTATGAAGGCATCGTATCTGCTACTTCTCAGTCAAAAGGCAAAGCTTTTAAAATACAATACCATAATGACGCGATAGTAATTTATTGAAGCTATTTCCATTCAACGTAATAGTGACTGGTAATTCTAATCGGTATTACTTCATTTGTCATTATTCTAAGTTCTGCGTTGATAAACGTTACGCAGACAAGCGATAACTTTGTTAGAATTATGACTAACACCAGAAGCTCTAATTAAAACGTCAAACTCATTATCACCTAATTAAAACACCGATTTTCCTCCACATTAAATATACTTTGACTATATTTAATATAGAGGAAATACAGTTATAATTCAATATTTCGATACAGGGTGTGTATACGTGTCACACCTCGCGTGTCCCTCAAATATACATACAAAGCTGTTCAGACAAAAGTATAGGAATTAGCATAATGATTTGTTTTATCAGCACTGAGTCAGTCATTCGATCCTGTGTGCCCATAACGCAAACGATACACGTACTAACGTAGGTTTTGTGGGCATGTATCAATCAAATGCTAATAATGACAAGTTCAATTTTTTTTCATAAAAGGTAGCGCCGTAGTATTTTGTACGGAACAGTTGTTATTATGTTAATGAAGAATTTATAGTAAAAAATTAAATACTTTTGTTATTCCTCACCTATAATAATTTTGCTCGTAGTTGGTAGAAGTATTTTTTGTCTCAATTTAAAGGATCGGATGGAATATCCATTTATACTTTATACATAATAACTTAATATGTATTTTACTTATATTTTATACTAGCGACTCACTCTCGCTTCGGTCGAGTTCGTCCCTAGCTTGATTCCCCATACAAACATTCATCCCTATTTTCACCTCCTTAAGGGATGTTTTCCGCGGTAAAAAGTATTCTATGTCCTTCCCAGGGTCTCAAACTATCTTTTTACCAAATTCCATCTAAATCGGTTCAGTAGATCCAGGAACTACCCCCTATAACGTCACAAACTCACAAACTACCTCTTTATAATATTAGTATAGATACATGTCTGCTAACCTATTTTTTTTTTCAATAATTTCCTAAAAAAATAAATTAAAAATATAAACAAAATAAAGAAACATATTAGTTTTTGGAATATTTCAATTATATTTTTAAGTCAATATTAATTTACTATCTTAGATTTAGATGTAATTAATTTTATTCATATTTTGGCATGCTTTCTATGCCATATAGCTTTGTGAATCAGCGGCATTCCCAATACGTTTGAGTTCCGCGCGCGTGACCTCCATGATTAACACCTGCCATTGACAATGGACGATTTAGTATTACATTATCACTTGCCCACCTGTCATTAACACGCTTATAAAACACCTAGGATAATTACACTTGATGGTGTACCTAGATAGAGCTATAGATTAAGTAAAAATATGTTTTGTGGTATTACTTGATATGCTTACGTATATGTATATATATATTTTTTTGTCTACTCTAATACTAATAATCTATAAAAATAAAAATAAGTGTTTTTTGTTGGTAAGCGTATTTGAGAACAGCCGGAACGATTTGATTAATTTCTTTTTTTTAAAGGCTCGTAAAAGTTTGAAAGAAATATTGAAAAAGCTGCGCGAAAATTTATGAATTTCACAAACTTTATTGTAATTTCAATAGAACTTTGAAATATTAGTAAGGAATATCATTTATGTTATGACAATTCAAAATATTTAAAATTAGTTCATTAAAGACTAGGGACTTGTCCTCGCAGTCTACTAATCTTTTACAAAATAACTGATATTGATGAATGATATGTAACATATACAACTTAATATGCCGAGATAAAAAGTAATAAAAGAAATAAAAAGTAAAATATACGTGTAGAGTGTCAGGCTGGTAGCTAGTAGTACAGCCAAAAAGCCCAATTAAATTATTTTAAGACTAACAATAATGTAAATATTACTATAATATTGCTCTTTTATGATTATTTATTTTAATTATATTTTTAAAATAAATAGCATAGAACTAAAATTAATTTAATTTATATTCTTAAAATCACCTTAAATTTCCAGAGAACGTTGGCAACATCTTAGGGGCGAGCGAGTGGAATACTGGTTATCCCTCAACTGCCTCCGTGTATCCTAGCTACGGACCTATACAGCCTACATACTACAAGCCAGACACGACGATACACATACCTGCTGGTAAGCTACTTAACATATATTTAAAACTTCACACCCTTTAAAGATAAAACATTATAGTCCATAGATTATAGATATACCTCACGCATTTCTTAGCTTTTCACGCACAACACTTTGTGAGCAAAATCACGACCGTTGCCCCCGCTTTAGATAGAGTTAATCGATTAAAAAATAAAAAAAATCAAGCAAAGATAATTTGATCGATTATTTTAAATTATTTCCTTATTATTAGTATAATGCAGTTCTGCTGACATTATACCAATTTTTATCGAAAATATTTTTTGAAGTTATACTTCTTTTGGTACGTTTGGAAAAAATTATGAGAGTAAAATTTTCACATCGACAGCCAAAAAGCGACATGATGAAATTAGCTGAAAGCGTCGTGATGAAGTTAGCTGCATCCCTTTTACAAACAGAGAGTTGTGACATGCGAGATGAATCTTTAGCTATTTTTGTTCTGTTACGCCAAAGAAGCATAACTTCTTACGTGCGTACATAAGTACACACACACGTTTTTTTTACAAGTTATAACAATAAATTGTATTAAAAAATAGTTATAGTAATGATTCTATTGATAATGATTTAATTCTCAAATAGACGCTTTATGACGCATGTAAAATATCATTAGTATAATATGCAAAAACAGAACTTTGAGCTGGATCTTTGTAATAAAACGCTAAGCTCACTGACATTCCCGTGAAATGGCGTTTAGTGGTTAAACATTTAGTAAGTGTATTCAATGTAGAAAAAAATGTCCAAACGTGATTGCAAAAGTCTACTTGAATAAAGTACAAAACAGCCACCCCTTGCGGGCATCGGGCCTCTGGGCAAGCTAAAAGCAGTACCGACAAACACTCGTATTCAGCATTACAACATAACAACCAGCTACTTGGCAACCAAACCAAAGACATAAAAATATTTCTTAGAAATACTTTCACATTTTACACCATGCTAAAATTAGGTAACTATTACAAGTGCGTATTGAATTAATAAAGCAAGTGCAATCTTTCAAAAATGCCGCCAACGTTGGTATTTCCTACAATTTCTGTTTATATTAACTATTGAAACTACTGAACGGCATTACTAAGTTATATGCGTTACAGTCAAAGTCAACACGTGAGGTATTCGTAGAACTTTAAGGCCAAAAAAATTATACAGTAAAAACCCTAAATTTAAATGAATCGTCATTGAGCCTATAGGTATACATTAACCATGGTATAAAAGAACATATTATGTATGTCTAAAATTTAAATATTGAATTAATTACCAATAATTTTATTCTTAGAAACATTATGTAACTTAGTTATTCTTTCTGGCTTGTCGAGAAAAAGTAAAATATAGCCTAAGTTATTATTAGAACGATCATCTATGAATAAAACGAGCATGTTTATTTTTACCTTAAAGTCAACACGTTTTACTAATAGATATGTACTATTGACAAGCAAAACATAGGTACTCATGTATTCTAATGATGTAGTAAAATACCCATTGCGATTAATCGACGTCATCTATGTATTATAACGTTTTGAAGTACACATATCTATACACTTAAATCTACTATTATTTTTTCTATGACTATTAATTTTTAATGTGGAAATATGTCAAATACAAGATGAAACGATGGAATATTTATTATTTAATAGAGTTATTATAATATCACCTTCTTAACCACTCTAGTCTTATACAAATACAAATAACGAACTGAACGGATCTAGATGTAATTTGGCACAGTAATAGTAGATAGTCTGGAATAGCTCATAAGCTACTTCTATCCCGGAAAAACTCATGGTTCCCATGGTATAGATTTGATTTTGTTTTTCACTAGGGACCTACCCGAGCGAAGTGGTTTATGTATTTGAGACATTAGTATAGATATTTCTTTGAAAAGAATTTAAATGAAGATTAGAATATTATATTTAAGACATATAAATAGTCCATAAATACGAAATAATCGAATTCCATTAAAATTTTCTTTCTTTTTTTTATTCCAGTACTTCCTGAAATGCCGTTAGGACATACAGACTACAGCGGCTTCCAATCTAGCTCCACGGGTTTTAAAGGAAGTCCAAGCGGCACGAGCGGCACGCTAACCGACCTCAACGCGCTCAACATGACGCAGCGATACGACCCCAACTATTACAACTCCTGGCCCACAAACTCTTACAACTATCAATACAATAATATAAACAATAACCCCGCCTGCCTACAATCGCACACACCTTACATAAACCCAAACCCTCAAATGATCCTTCCAAACCTAACCTACTCTACAGTCAATCAAAACCAAATACACGTCCATCTCCACAGTTCAGAGAAGTATCTGGAACAGTATATGCCGAGTGAGATCAAAATAAACGATATAGACGGCGGTATCTCCATAACTACAGATTTGTCTGGAGGAGGAGAACCCTCAGGACTCGTTCAAACTTGCGAAAGCAGCGATGACGTGAAACACGGACTCTACGGTGCAGGAAGCCAAGAAGTGTGGCGACCCTATTGACAGTTCGTTACGCCTCGTTATGACTATAATCAACATTCCATTGTACATATTGTGATATAGTGAAATAGACTCATTATAGATTTTATGGAAATAATTTAGAAATCAATTAATGTTAAACATTAATTAGATGTTAAGTGTTAATAAATGTATTCAAATAGTAATAACATAAATTAACATTCCAAGTTGTATTGTCTTTTATTATCTTTTAATTTATTTTCTAATGAGAAAACGGAAATGCAATAGCGAGACTGGTTTTAGTGTTTACAAACGGATTTTCCGTAATATTATTTGTAACGAAACAGGAGCCTAGTACATTTCCATGTTATAGGTACATATATAGATAAGGATTGTGTATAAGTAAACATACCTACGTTTATAGATATACGTCTCTACTTACGTTTAACGTTTAGTATATATTTCTCAGAGATGACATATTTTCCCGCAATAAAAGTATCCTATATTATGTTGATCCGGATATCCAGCTATCATCATACCAAATTTCATCAAAATCTGTCCAGTAGTTTTCTCGTGATGCGTTCCCAAACAGACAGGCAAAATTTTTAAAAACTATAGATTCAACCTCTGCCTCTGTATCGATAATTATGACAATTTCAATAAGACTTTCCAAATATATTTACTTAATGTACAGATTCGACTCAGATTTTTATTATATGTAAATTATGTACACATTAAAGAAAAGCCGATGACAAACATAATGAAATATCTATCACTCAGTAGTATAGTAAACTATATTTCAATTTATTTTTTAAAAATAGAATTAAAAAAAACATACAATTAGAATGAATAGCTCAACTCAAGTGACTTCAACTATAAGTTCTTGCCAACTTTACATTAGTAATATAATAATTTATTCTAAACACATATTCTTTATTTGGTTTTTTACTATATAAATAAAGTTTAATAATTATGCAATTATTATAACACCTTAATTTCCTATCTCCTAGTATTTATTACTATGGGTGCCTTTTGATAAATTACAATTAATAACACAGATCACATAATTATTTATACTAGATATTATTCATTATCTTCGATCAACAATACCACTAGATATCGGTCGGCGTAAGAAATCAGTAAGTAAATATCAGCTCATTTGACAAGTGAGCGTATATTTCGATTAGTTCTATTGAAATACTGCCAACGTAAACACCTTCACAATGCTGCAATATGTATTTAAAAGTTGCAAAAATAATGCGCGAAGAAGAAATATTTCAGACGGAGTATCTTATTTTCGGTAAACACATATAAAAATATTAGTAATATTGTAAATCAATATTTTAAGATTTAACCTACGAAATAATATAAAAATGAAATTTTGAACAATTTTAAATCCGCTGAGAACGTTGGCCCAGCTTCGGCCAATATACGCAGAAACAAAACAACGATTTAGCTCACAAAGCAACAACGGGAAAAAGTGCATTGAGTTTTTCGATATAAGGTTGATTTTACAATACAGATTATAAATTTACGAAATGATCGTAAGTATATGATGATAATTCGAAGATTTATGACTTTATTACAAGGTGCTATGGTGCTGATTAGCTTAAAAATAAAACTAATATAAGACTTTGTCTTGGTTTGTAGTATACAAATGAAGCTGTTTAAGAGCATATTCGCGCGGACAGAATTTAGCTTTGATTTTGTATGTGACACGTTATCTAGTAGTATTGTTGATCGAAATTCATTAAATACAAGTGGCAAATTTTATGACTGACAGTTTCAACTCTCAACCGTTTCAGTGTGTACTACTAACAAAATTACTTATTATAATAGTTATGTGGTTTTACTGATTTTTAAAACTACCGTCGCTCCTTGTACGTTATAGCTGCTTATGAATTTAAATTACAATTTAAACGGCTACTATCATCCCAGCAAGATAACATACAAGACTTGTAATTTATTTTTTGCATATTATCGCAATATAAAAAAAATTAAACGAAAATCTTTATCAAAGTAAGGCAAGTAGTTTTTGTGCAATATATGAATAAGAATGAATTTGATTTAAGTTTGTTGTTGTTGTAAACACTATGGTTAAAATATAATTATATATTTTGGTATTTTCAATATAGACAAAATTTTGATAGGTACCTAATAACTTCAATAAAGATAACTATGCTAGTTTTATAATAATTTATAATAGGCTACATATATAAGGAAGCAGAGCAATAATCATAAATGTCAACAAATTGAGCAGATTTCAATAAATTATTGTAAAATTAATGTTTATATCGGAAGTATGAACGCAGACGAAGCCGCGGGTACTGCTAGTACACTTATATTTAAAGGGCATTTGATGTAACAGAAAATGTAGCGTATTTCCTATTTAAATTCCTCCTTAGTACCTACTCACGGACGCCAAGTCAGTAATTTCTGTTCAAAATTCTACACTCCTAGACTCATTAGCCGTGGGCTGAATATTATCTGTCAGCCAATTTTGCAGCTGTGATGAGGCAGAAGCCAGAAGGAGATAAAAGGAACGTGAAAAGAAGTAGATGATTCAACTCTAGCGTTCCCCGAAGGAAATATATACTAGTATGAAGTAGGTACCTACTGTCATCGCATATTACTACTTACATCAATATTTTAGAAAAGGGTTAAAGACATCCTTAGACTTGTCGGTCTATTAATGCTAACCAGCAAGTATCTACTGCATTAAAAAGCTTTGATATTGATTTGACTTATTATTAAATGAAGCAAGTACTGACTAAGAAAAATATAAAAATGACGAAAAATATTAAAAAAGTGCGTGCGTGCGTGCGTGCGCGCGTGCGTTGAGTTATACATAAATACACATGTTGGGAATTGGAACATTAACACTCAGCACCATCTAGTTCCACGGTAAGCTACGAGGCGTGTTATGGATACCAGATAGTTGATACACTACACATATGTAACTTTAAATGCATATATATTATAAATATAAACACCCACTGGAGTACATACATTCGCGTTCATCATAAAAATGAATGCCCCCAGCGGGACTCAAACTCGTGACCGCTGGCGCAGCAAATAGGGTCACTACAAAATACAATTAATAATACATATTTCTCTTTTCTCTACTTTGTTACTAACATGCCTACAAAATATTTATTCACGGATTAGTACAACCTTTATCGTAGTATAATATGATGAATGTTTTTATTTGTATTATTTTTTTGCTTATAAATTGTTAAAATAATTTGAAATATTGATTTATAGAGAAAAAAAAAACAAAAATGCTTTCACAGATGTCAATTTAAATTTTCTCAAATCTCCAATGTGTAAATAAATATAGTAATCTTGCGTCTCTAATTTCTTGTATAAAGTTCAAGAATCATTCTATGTGCGGAGATAAGACAACGAAAATCAAAATAATAATAATGACGATGCTCTTTTGGATACAGCTGTTTTACTGCTCAACGTTGGGAAATGCATTTACGCACGAGGTTCCCAGTATATATCTATACTCTTTGGCACGAGGCGTGGGACTCACCGGCAAAGCCAGTACTACCCACTAAAACCCAACAAAACCTTCCCCCGTCTTAAGGGGCGTCGCAGGATCGCTTACGCATTCAACTACGACTCCCCGACGGCAGGTCTGCCGAAGCAGACCATAACAACCATGGGGTTGCTCCAAAGTCCACTCTGCTATCAGTAATCAGTAACTGATGAGCGTACCTTACAACTAAGTGGTAGTTGCATAACAATTTCAAACCATAATGTGACAAAATGTTATTTTAAAACAATAGGATTACATGAATATTTATATAAAAAAAAATATTTAGGTTATTTCTTTGTTGCAATAAATAATAATTCCCGGCATAGTTTATCGCATAACACACTCTAGCAACACCAGTAGGAACTAAAGACGTGATAAGATGGCGGCTTTCAAGTAGAAGTAGCTTGCATACTTTTAAATAATATTTTAGTAGTGATAATAAAGTGTGTTTATTTATTTAATCAGGATAGGTGTATATCATATTATTATAGAATAAAAGATAAAACATGTAAGTATATCGCATTAAATGATATAATGTTCTAGCTAGTAGCTGCGTCATTGTTGCAGGTTTCTGATAACGGCGGGTGACAGCAAACAATCATTTCTAGATTTAACCAAAACCGTTTACTTGCAGTTGAAAGAGCCTATTAAGATAATAGTGAGAAGGCAATGTCCGAGGAGTCGGAACGACACGAGGAGTCGGCGAGTGACGGCGTCTCCGGCAGCCTCACAAACGTGGCGCGCGTGTTGTTGACCTCGGTCCAACTCGACACCGCAACCGCGGAGTCACTACGTGCCTCGTGGAGAAACCAGGACTTGTACATTGACCATCTTGAAACGTTGAACAAGCAGCTGGAAGGTATTTACGAAAACGTTACATCGGCTTGGTAGTGGTCACGGTCGGCGATCTCCGACCCGCGTGCTGATTTCGTGCAAACACTCTTTAGTTACTCTATATCGACAATGCTTTAACTAAAATTAGTGATACTGTTATAATAACATGTTCAATAAAATGTGATATGAGATGTTAGTTATAAAAATTTGTGGTACGGGGTGTATTTAGGTGTTCATTAAAGATGAATAAAGAAGAAAGGTGTAATGCTGTGTAAGAGCGGTGCCAGTGGAGTGATCTGTGGAAGTGCATACATCATGTGGCGGCAGCAAGCCAAGTGAATTTCCAAGTTATCTTGGAGCTGTGTTAATGTTCAGTGCTTAAAAATCATAACTAAAAATGACAACAACTGAGGAAAATACTGGTTCTTCATCTATTGGTCGACTTAAAAAAGTAAATATGCCTCTTTTACTTTTATTGTAATATTAATAAGATCTTTTGTTTGTACATGTTTACCTATGTAAGTACTAAGTAGTATTAAATGAATCAAAAATACACAAAACACAAGGGAATGTATCAATAAAATATCAGACTAAAATGTATACTATTAAATAATGTATTATGTATGTTTAGACATATTATTATTGAAGAAATCATAGTTGTAACAATGATAATTTTGCAACACTCAAATTAATTTATTTACAAATATGCTTCAAGTAACTGAATAATATGTTTTTATGTATATATATTATATTATGAAAAACTTCAAATGTGAAAAGTCGATCATTGATCATCATCAAGAAAATCTAAATTATTGAAATATTTGGACTAAATAAATATAACAAGCGTTACTGCTTGATTTTAAAAAGACTTTTCTTATTTGAATGACTTGACTACTACTAATAAATTGGCAAATGCAATGGCTATAACAGGGATTTGCTTCATATATTTTTTTATATATTTTACATTATATGCACAGATTCTTATCTATTTTTGTTAAAAGTAATTTGTTGTTAATTGTTTCGATCACTTAATTTTATATTTAATACAGTAAAGTTTTATTTATAGTTTTATAACACATATATATAGGCAATTTGTAACTTTAAATTAATTTTTGTAATCTGTTTTCCAAAAACTGGACAATCTATAAGAATACTTTAAAAATCAAAGGTGCCTTCCTATTTTCACCGCTAAATGTCATCCCATTCTAATCAAATTTCGAATGTGGCTACCCTAAACCTGGAATGGTACTCTCACTCTCGCACCTTAAGTAGCAATTTTGGTGAAAAAGGTTTGTATGGTAAAAACTTAAATTTTGCTAAAAAAATTAAGCCAACCTCGCAAAGCTGATATAAAAATGACGCCCAGTAAAAAAACTGACTATTCTGCCTGTTAACTTTCTAATTTTTGTAATGTCAACAAATTTGATAGACAAAAATATTGAATATAAAAATAAATTGATTTTTTTTCCTAATTATGTAAAAGGTACAAAATCATTACATAGTAATATTATAAATCAAGAAAGTTTAATTTTTATGTATGAGATTGTTTTGTAACCTGAGAAAGATGTGGTCTACTTTACATCATATATGAGAGTTCTTGTTTCTTATTGCCAAAAGTTACTAAAAGAGGGGAAGATAGAAATGGTGACATATCTTTACTAATATTATAGAGATACAGATACAGAGTTTATTTATATAAACGCACTAATCTCAGGAACTGCTGATCCAATTTCAAAAATATATGTCAACATATCAGGCAGACTTTCATACATTATTGTAAAACTGATTTTTATATCGAAAGTTTGAATTTGGGCGAAGCCGCGTCCTGCTAGAGTTACATAGTCAGAGGAACAATCATTTTTTGCTTCTGAAAAATAGTTACTTTGTAGATTTTCAAAAGTACCTTCCAAATTCAAACAAATTGTAAGATTAATAACTAAGATTTCTTTTTTTTAAGTAAGGGATTTTTTTAACTATTATATATTACATTATATATTTTGTTATCATTCTTATCATTAAAACTAAAGGAAGATTTTTCTACACAACATCCTTAGGGACATAAAATATGTTGCATTGGGCTAAGACAAACCATGAGTATTTTTAATATTTTCTGTAAGTTTGAGAGCCATGTTAAAGTTTACCTTGTTAATTGGAAAAATAAGTACTGTCAACAAAACAAGTTATGCTACTTTATAAACTTGAAATTAATAATGAATTATTCCTAATAATAAGGTAAATAAAGTAAATGTGTATTGTATTTATAAAATATTTGCTTAGTTAAGGTATTGTCGATTTAAAAAATTGTTATGTTAGTAATTAAACAACATGTGTTGAATGCAATCATGTAAGATCAATTATTCATAGTAACACGGAATTTTGGTAAAAAATTTTTTTCAAAATGATGGGTTTCATAAATGGCACAACATTTAATAGTAACATATTTTATTTGTATAGGAAGCTTGGAAAAGGCGAAAGAGGTAGAAGATAGGATAAAACAACAATATGCAGAATCACAACATCGAGAGAAGATTCTTGTTAGGAGATTGGCAGCTAAAGAACAAGAAATTCAAGATTATGTAGTAAGTTGTTCTATTAGAAATTATAAATCTTAATTTGAAATCAAGATGTTTAAGGTATTTATGGTCATACTAGAGGCTCGCCCTTGCTTCGCTGGGGTTCGCCTCTAGAAACAAAAGTAAATCTATCCCACGGAAACCGTACATTTTTCTGGGACAAAAAGAGTAGCCTATGTGTTATTCCAGACTACAATCTATCTCTGCAAAATTTCATCAATTGATGATGACATGATAGAGTAACAAACATCCAAACATCTAAACTTTCACATTTATTATATTAGTAAGATATGACAATAAAAAATATAAGTAAAGAATAATTCTCACCGTTACCCTCTTATTAGCCGACTTAATAGGTGAAAATTTCACGTTATATGTAAAAAATTGTAACAACATGTACAAAGAATTCTAGATAATAATTAATTTAAACAACTATTTATTTCAGAGTCAAATCACAGAATTAAAATCATCACATGCAAGTCTTAATGGCAGGCCATCACTATTAGATCCAGCCGTGAATATGCTAATATTAAGATTAAAACAAGAACTTACTTCAACAAAAGCAAGGTTGGAAGAAACACAAAACGAATTATCTGCTTGGAAATTCACACCAGACTCAAATACAGGGAAGAAACTTATGGCAAAGTGCAGATTGTTACATCAGGAAAATGAGGATCTAGGCCGGATGACCTCTAGTGGTCGAATAGCAAAGTTAGAAGGTGATTTGGCATTACAGAAAAGCTTTAGCGAGGAAGTTAAGAAGTCACAATCAGGTTGGTACAGTTTTGCTAACTTTAGTTTTATTAAACTGAAAATAGTCATGGACAAATGAATTATTATGTACATGAAACATAATAATAAGTATATAATAAATTTAAAGAAATTGTAAATGATTTTTAAAAACCTGATATTACAGTTATGATTACATGTTACGAAGACACCATCATAATGATATGTTCCTATTACTAACATGTATATTGTGTATTTCCTCAATGACAACACTACGTTTTGCTTAATATTCAGTACTCGCGATATATCTTACAAGATAGTTTCCTTACTTGAAACTCCAGTCCTAGCAACAGTTGTTTTTAGTGTCTTGTATAAAGTATCTATTATAATTAATTTTCTGTACTGTTCCAGAATTAGACGAGTTTCTGCAGGAGTTAGACGAAGATGTAGAAGGCATGCAGAGTACAGTGCTGTTTTTGCAGCAGGAACTACGCGCGTCTCACGCAACTGTGAACGGTAATAGGACTTCCCCTAAACGGACTTATTCTGGAAGTGAATGCAGTGATACACCCGTTGGCAAAAGAAGGAGAGCCTCAGTGTTATCGTTAGACTATAACGAGGAAGAAGAACCCCTCACAGTCACCAATGGTGAGGCAGACTAGCCGTGGACCTCAGTGTTCTACAGAACACGATATAATATGAACTAGTGAATTGTGTATAGCCTATTTCGTTATGAAATTTTATCGTTGTGAGTGATCAGGTTAACGGAACTTCGTTGTGTCATCATCACTCATGCAGACCTGTACGAGTCAGTGTCTGCTTTCATGTACTCTAGAAGAATTTGTGTCATTCCCGTTGGCAAATGTGAGGATTGTGTCAAACGTGAATATGACGGATTCAAACTATTGTTTGCGTTTTGAGTGGACCACGTGATCAGATTTAATAGTGAATCGTTTGACATTGTTTTATACTTATGAATGATGAAATAAACACTCAGTTGACAATTTTATAATTTATTTATGTAAAGTGCATTAATTGATTGTGATATATTAGAGAATCCGATGCATATGATATGAGCAATAATATTTCGTTGCCGATTTCGTTGTTTTATGGCATTTGTTTTTATATATGCCACAGGCTATGAAATTATAATGAGTCCATGATACGTGTAGCTGTAATGTCAACACCAAGCCTAATATATTATTGAATGCCACGTTTTTATTACATTTGTGATTTTCTACATAAAATGTTTCTATTTTCAAATTACAATTGATGTATATATAGAGCTATGTTAATAAACATATTACTGGCAGCCCTCTGTGTATTATTTGTTATTTACTTAAGTTAGAAATAATAAATTTTGTCAAAAAATTTACTTGAAAAAGATGCAGTTTGTATCGGATCTAGTTTGGTGAACGAGATGTTGGGGCTGCAAGATTTTTTAGGTAGGATTATCAATAAATGTCGACCTTGGATGATTTAACTTTAAATGCATAATTTCAGTGTCCAGTAGTGTTTTTAAAAATTAGTCTCTGAGCGAATTTTGATAAAATATCATTTTTCTAATTTCGTAGTAAGTTCCCTTATTGATACATATGTATAACAATATACACACACTGCTGAAACATTAAATACAGGCGTGCAGCCTTGTTAGCTAGGTTTTTAGTTTTTATTTTATATAAAAAATATTTCTTGCTACTCTATATAGGTAACATTATCATCCCATACAAAGAAATTAGACAGCGCTAATTCGGGCTATACTTCGAGCTATTTTTGTTTGCTTGAATAGATAACAGATGCCATTAATTTGCAAATAATTAACTGTTTTATTTTACAAACATGTGAAAATTAACGTACGATAATAATTCATCCTGCATTCAAATAAAAAAATCAGTAATTTTAACAATTTTTAACCGTGACAATTATTCATAAAAAGTAAAAGCGTCATCTGTGAATACACTACAAACCCCTCATCTGATTGCATTTCAATAATTAATCAATAAAATCACGCAAATTTTATTTACGAGCGCATTTCGTTTCCCTTCAATTAGAATATTTTTAAAATCAAAAATATACCTTTTTGGGATCTATTTTTTGTTGTTATAACACAACTAATGTGAAATCGATACATCGTCATCTATTGACATTTATTTGAACTAATTTTTCTTTGTTCGTGTTGAGACCCATCCATCTAAATAAATAAGGAGTTTTTTGTTTAGGTATATGAACGTTCAAATCTCTGGAAGTAACAGTACAATTAAAAAAATATCATTTGATTTTATAGCTTATATTTTATAGTTATTAGTGTTGTGGGGTACTTGGGTGCATCACTACGCATCTAAATATTATTAGTAAATTATTTTAGTCAACTTCACATGTTTAAATGTTTAGTTTTTTGAATGAAAAGTGTTAAGTTTTCATATATGTGATAATGTTAAAATTAGCTTGTTCTTTTATATTTAAAGCTAAATTTATATACAAAAACGTTAATTACAATGCAACACGAGCGTCTGTAAAAAATAATCTCAATTTTTCTCTCCTGAAATAAATCCATTAGAATTTTAATTACAGTGACTTAGTTTCAAGATTTATTGGTGCATGTTTTAAAGTAAGAACTATTCTGTATTTTAGTATTATTTTTATTAAGAATCCACACATTATAACTCGGATGTTTTTTATGAAAATTGCGCGATAGCTGCGCAAATACAACGAACGAGCCGCGTGTGTTTTAAAGTTTTGAATTTGATTGTAACTAACAACTAATATAAATAAATCAAAGAATGGTTTTGTGCGATTACATGTTTATTTATAAAATAGTGTTTCAAATATAGTGTAAATATAGACCGTGGTATTGTCAGAAATCAATATAATACAACAACTAGTAAATATTCAGCTAACACTCATATATTGTTAGCTTATTTATAATTCACCAATAGTTGGAAGTGTATTTTACATATTGTCATAAATGCTCAGATTATTTAAAAATCCAAAACAGCAAAAACATTTTAAATCGGTCCTATATAATTTGAATGATGAGTATTTTTTTATGTAATGGTTGTATCGGGGGAAAATGACACGCGGGCTCGGTGTATATGGGGTGTTGCATGTCAAAAAGCGCTGGGTTCAAGTGGTTAAAAATATAAAATAGTTGAATTTTGTTTTTATTTTAAATTATTTTGTGGGGAATCGTTATATTTTTTGTCCCAAATTGGGGAATTTGAGTTAGATTTTCGGGGAATTTGATAAATTGATATTGGCAACGCTGCTTACGTGTCATTTCCCTGCCCAGTGCCCTGCACCACAGAGTACATTATATATATAGGCCCTGCACTTTCCGCATTTCACCTCTTGTTAGTATTGTGCTCTGTGACCTCTTGTACCGTTTGCAGCTTGACGTATAATATTATTCTGTTGTTGTGATTGATTTATATTATTATTATCATTAATGAAATGGCTCCACGAAAACCATAACGCAGCCAAACGAAAGAAATTTTATGCAATTTGAACAAATATTTTAAACAGGTAAATGAAAAAGATATGTCAAATGTCATTACATCGGCTCAATTGGTAGCGACATCGATCATCCGCTGTCCACTGTAAAAAACGTTTTATTAGAAGGTAAACGTGTTTTAGAAGAAGGAAGCAAATTTAAATCTCCAAAAAAAACAAGATGCAGGAAAAATATTATTGTTATTGGCGATTTTGATAAAGCGGTAATTCGGAGAATAATTCATAACTTTCACATCACCGATAAACAGGTTCCTACTATGAAAATGTTACACGAAAAATTGAAGACAAATAAATTATCCAGGTTCAATTTGGTCACTAAGTAAAGAAGTATCTCTTTTAGGATTCAAGTGGAAAAGGACAGAAGATAATCGTAGAATTCTTATGGAGAAACATGAAATACGGTATCTTCGAATCAATTTTCTCATTCATATTGCTGAATATCGCGCTCAGTGCCGCCCAATCATTTACACTGACGAAACATATATAAACACGTCTCATACTTCGTGCAAGACTTATTCAGATGGGAGCACCTCTGGTTTAAAGAAATCATTTTCTCAGTGAAAACGTGTAGTAATAGTTCATGCCGGAGGAGAGGACGGTTTCGTACCCAATGCTTTACTCATGTTCAATGCAAACCAAAAAAGTGGTGACTATCATCATAATATGAACACCGAGAATTACATAAAATGGTTGGACACGCAGCTAGTCCCAAATTTAAAGCTGAATAGTGTTGTTGTGGTTGACAACGCATCATACCACAATTTGTAGCAAAATCCCGCCCCCAATTCAAACCATCGTAAACAAGCTATGATTGATTGGCTCACATATCGAAATATCGTTCACTCTGCAGCGATGCTTAAACAACAACTTTATCAGTTGATACTGCAAAACAAACTAAGATTTATTGAATATAAAATTGATAATTTGCTTAGAGAACATGGTCACAGCGTTCTACGTCTGCCACCCTACCACCCTGACTTCAATCCGATTAAATTTATATGGGCTATGATAAAAGGCTACGTTGCTAAAAAAACGTATCAATGAATATGGAGTCTATTATGAAATTAACAAAAGAAAAAGTTGACGCGATCACTGTACAAGAGTGGAAAAATCTGTGCGACCACGCAGTGAAAGAAGAAAAAGCATTTGATGGTCGAGACGCCGCTATTGATAGTATAATGGAGCGATTCATCATTAACACAGGCGACACATCAGACGAGAGTGATCATGAAGAGAATGAAGATACAATGTCAGATACTGAATGAATTTAATATAGTTTTTGAAATGAAAACTTTATTAAGCATGTTTGGATGGGGATTAAATTCATGTAAGTCGTCATCGACATGGTCACGTGACGTGTTAACGCTAACACTCAGAGTGCCGATAAATGTCAAAACCAGATAAATGTAAAGAGATTTAATTTACAAATTTTTAATTTAAGATCAAACAATTTGAATATCCAAAAATAACAACTGTTTATAGTTTTAAGTTTTCACTTCTGTCGGCAGTCCTCATGACTGCTTTTTTATGTGTTTTTATAAAATATTGATTTTATTTTTATGTGTTTTATTTTCTAACCTTACTTTTGGCCATCACTCACACAAGTGCAAAGCTGAGCTTACGCCTCGAGAACTGTAAATAGGTAGTGTCTGTACAACCCAAGTACATAGCATTTAGCAACATTGACATACAACTCTTTCAGCTATTACAGCTCTTGAAATTGACATAAAAAATTAAAATTGTTTGTGTATTTATTTAGCTTTTTATATTTAAGTTTAACGTAATAAGATTTGAAACTGTTCAAAGAGAAATTTCACAAATAATAGATAAAATATACAAATTAAATATTACTAATTTGTGTATTGGAAAACTTTGACATGAAATAAAAGCCAAATTCCAAGAATAGCTGGACAAATTTTAATAAAACTTAGGTATTTAAATTTATTTCATGTAGTTTTATTATAGTCAATCAAGCAGATCTAGAAACGCACGACCTTCTTACAATGTGCAGTTTATAGGAAGAGCCATTTTTAATGGTTGCTAATTAATTAAATAGATACACTCGCAGACTGCAGCTGGCTTGATATAAAACGTAAATACAGTAACCAAAAGTAGCTCATGTTATTTTTGTGGCTGATTCTTCCTTAAC